CAGAAAAATATAATGCTAACCATAAAGACACCTCTCATTTCAGCTGCCCCCATGGTAGTATAACAGTAGTAGTAGTGACTGTTGTCACCCTCATAATCATTATCAGGGCTAAGAGATACTGACTGTGCACAATGTGTATACCATGGGCTATACAGTAAGTGATTTATTAATAGTTTCTCAGTCCTTACATAACCTTGTGGTATATTCGTGTGTGATGATTTCATTTCACAAATATGGAAACACAGGCTAAGCTACCCAGGGTTACATAGCTAAAATGATTTGAACTCCAGACCACTCCTATCTTGAAATGCACAGTAGTACAATGACAGCCAGTAAAAACTAATGAACATTGCATGCTCACACTGAGCCAAGACTTCTGCTCAATTCTTGATTGAAATGATTTCATTTACTTCTCACAACAACCCTGTTTGGTAAGTGCTGTTAGCACTCCTATCTTACAGATGAGTGAAAATAGTTAAACAGCATGCCTAAGGTCCCATGGTAATGAGACTCAAAGCCAAACATGGGAAATAGAATTCAAAGCTCTCTCCACTAGGCCCAACTTATATTAAGATAAGGAGATATTTCTATCACCCTACTTAGTCGGGAACCCTGCTGTGCACCAAGCCTGATGTGTTGAGTCTCACTCAGCAAGTTAATACCAGTGAGGAAACCTCTCTAGTCCTGTGTACACACCAGCATTTTGGGTTTGGTTACTCTAGGAAAAGAGGATCCATCTCCTTGTAGAAGTGTCTCCTAGCTCCCATTTCCTTCAACCCGATTTCTGAAGATAACACCTCACCACGGTCCTCTGCTAATGCTGTGCCCAGAACATCTAATAAATGTTTACTCAGAGCTCCCAGAGCCATAGTTAAGGGCCTTAATGTGCAATCTGGCTGTGTGCCTTATTTAATCAGCACCTGAATGAAATGTCTCTTTGCTAGCAACAGCCAGCGCATAGTCAGCTAGAGTTTTTCTGCAAACACAGCTGGTGAACTGGCAGAGGCCATTCTACTCACAGGCAAAATAGACCCCAAGGTGACGACAGCACTGCTGATGTGTGATCAAGATGGGGAGGTGGAAGGCATTGGGATGGAATGATAATAGGCTTGTGCTTCCTTTCCCTTCCAGCTGATCTCATTCTCCTACACACCTGAGCACTTGCCACGGGCCAGAGTTTGCACTGTTCCTGCCCACACTTCCAGCACCTCCACACCCCCTGCTGCCCACATCCTCTGGAACAAATCAATACAGAACAATACTCCACCTGGGTGGAAAGGTATTGAGAGCTTCAATAATGTCTGAAAAGGGAACAGAAAAAAAAAAGCACAAACCCAAGGCAAGGAATATGGGAAAAGCCAGCTGCTTAAAAGCACTAGACCAGGGGAAGGTAACTAGGAATTTTTGTCATTATTTTTCTTTGAAAACAAGGTTTGTTGATTTGTTTTTTTTTTGGGGGGGGGAGGGGGCGTTGGGTTTCTTTTGGAAACAGAGTCTCTCATGTAGCTCTAGCTATACTAAAACTTACTATGTAGACCAGGCTGGCCTCGAACTCAAGAGATCCATCTGCCTCTGCCTCTTGAGTGCTGGGATTAAAGGTGTGTGCCACAACTCCTGATGAGATTTATTGATTTTTAAACTCAAACAGTCATTACAAAAAGGGTTTTTTTTCTTTTGAACAAATTCACACAAAGAAATAATAGAAAATGACTAGCAAGAGAAATAATAATTATATTCATTTGTGTGTGTATCGCAGCTCTGTTTACACTAACATTAGAAAACATGAAAAATCCAAAGCCCAGAGCCTCAAATCTTCCAGTAGAATGTCTTAAATAAACACAAGAGGACAAAGGGTTTTCTGGTTCCACCCCTTTTAAAGAACTATGCATAAAAAGCTGTTTTCCTTCTTTACACTCACAGGACTTTTAATCTGGTCTCAGTTCTTTGTCTAAAGACAAAGAAACTCAACTTCCAGCCCAACACAGAAGGAGAATTTCTAAAATCAATAATGCAACAGCTTTCTTCATTTTTAAATATTAATTTGTCTTTTTTTGAGACACTGTCACACTACATAGACCTGGCTAGCCTGGAACTCACTATGTGGAGCAGGCTGACCCTCAAATCACATTATCTGCTCGCCTCTGCCTCCACAGTGCTGGAACTAAAGATGTGTGCCACTACACCCTGCCTGGATCTTTCACTTTTTAAAATTAAATAATCATGGGATACGAAGACAGTTCAGCCGGTAAAGGCATTTATAAATGGTGCCAAATCCGATGACCTAAGTGTCATCTCCAGGACCCACAAGGAAGGAGGAGAGAACCAACTTCCAAAGCTGCCTTCTGATCTACACACATACACACACACACACACACACACACACACACACACACACACACAGACTAAAAATAAAATATCCAAAAATTCAAAGTTACAAAAAAAATGCCAAAGGATAATGTATTAAAACTGGAAAAACAGTTTTTTAACTCATTCTTTCCCAGATAGCCAATGCAGTCTGTCCACATTGCTGTTCCCACTTCAGTGTGAACCTTTTAAACGGAGGCACATTCTTTCCAGTTCCCCCAGGTGTGTCCCAGTCTCGAAGGACATGGAGACTTGCATTACACTTATTTACTTGGTGTGATCAGGAGACCACTTACAGGGGGCAGGTTCTCTTTTTCCATTATATGAGTCCCAGAGATTGAATCCAAGTCAACAGCCTTAGCAGCCAGGGCCTTTACCCGCTGAGCCATCTTGACCGTCCTGAAACAGGCATTTTACATTGTAGAAGGCATTGTGTTAGAGCGTGAAATACTCTGGAAAAAGGCCAGCTTGAATGGAGTTGTCAGATAGAAACACAGAGAAATGGTAAAGAAAGAAATGTGAAAAAGAAAGGTAGGAAGGCAGTAACAAGTCTTGAAAAAGGGAAGGAGGGAGGCGGAGGGAGGCAAGGGCATAGAGAGGGAGGGGGCAGGGAGGAGGGAAGACCATGTGTTGAACTCTGCTGTGAAGCTAGCTCATTCAGGAGGGCAATCATCTCAATAACAACTAAATAATCACCCCCAGGTTGCACAGGGTGCATGCTATCTCCACTAATCTCTGCTCACTTACCTCAGTGTTCTGGCCATCTGTCCTTGACGGCATGTGTCTTCCCCTACTGAAACTTCGGGATCATCTGTGACTTTTATCAATGGCCCAGAAATGACAAAGCATTCTTAAGCTTCACTTGCCTTCTAGGTGAGGAAGAAACAGGCAATGTGACCCTGATAAGATGCAAGGTTAGCGCTGGGACACTGTCCTATGAAGGAGGAATGAGCCCTGTGGCTAGGATGTTTTGCTTTTGTTTTAGCAGGGGTTGGGACTAAATTCAGGACCTTGATTGCGAACACCCTCGGCCCTTCACGCATTCATTATTTCTTTCTTTCTTTTTTAAAGACAGGACCTCTCTCTCTCTCTCTCTCTCTCTCTCTCTCTCTCTCTCTCGCTCTCTCTCTCCCCCCCTATGTAGCGCTGGCTAGCCAGGAACTTACTAAGTAGCCCAGGAAAGCCTAAACCTCACAGAGATCAGCCTGCCTATGCCTCCTCAATGCTGGGATTAAAGGCCTATGTTCCCATGACTGGTCCGTACATTGTGTCTTATGTCTAGAATTCTCTTTTTCCCCTTTGTTGGGCCTCATTCTAGGTACTTAAACACAGAACAAGACTAACAGGGGCTCCTGCTCTCCTGAGGCTATAACTCCTACATGAGCCAGCTCAAATCAGATGTCACTTCAAGGAAAAACAATCTTCCTTAAATGTATTGTAGAAAATGTCTTCCCCTTCTATGTTTCATTCAAGGTATGACTCTACATATAACATTATAAATTAGTTGATCCATTGTCTTGTCTTTCTCATCTAAACTATGAGCAACATAAGATCCAATCCTGATTATTATTTATTGTTGACTCTATGGTACCTGGCTCCACTGTTTGGAATACAACAAGCATTCATTAACATTTATTAAATGAATACAAGAATGAACAAACTTGGGGCTGGAGATATGGGTCAGGAGTTGCTCTTCCAAAGGATACAGTTCAATTCCCAGCACCTACATGGTATCTCCCAACCATCTGTAAGTGCAGTCTTAGAGGATCCCATGCCCTCTTCTGACTTCCAGCAGGCACCAGAAACATACATGCAGACGAACATCCATACACATAAAATAAAAATCTCGCCAGGCATTGGTGGCACATGCCTTTAATCCCAGCACTCGGGAGGCAGAGGCAGGCGGATCTCTGTGAGTTCTAGGCCAGTCTGGGCTCCAGAGCACGTGCCAGGACAGGCTCCAAAGCTACACAGAGAAACCCTGTCTCGAAAAAACAACAACAAAAAATCTCAAAAAAAGTTGAAGGAATAAATTCTTGAAACCATTTAAAACAAGAGTCTCACATACTGAAAGTTAGCATGCAACAAACAGGTGTCAAAATGGCCTGTTGGTTGGAAAAACTTACTGACTTAGAGGAAAGGAATGAAGAAGGTAACAAAGGCCTACTTGAATATTCTAATGATAACAACTCCCTTAAAACTCGACTTACAAAAACTTTATGACCTCACCACTCACAGAAGCCATACTAACTACATAAACTGCCTACATAGCTATACTACCAACCTATACATACAGCCTTCAGAAGCCTGAATGCCTTGACTACAGGCCACCCAGTTTCACATCAGTCAGGACGAGCAGTTGGGTCATCTTCGCACTTACTATTTCAACCACAAGATGTCTCTCAAAATGGGACCAGAGACTAACCAACACTAGAACCATGAGAGAGTTTACTTAGTTTTGAGGGAGTTTTGTTTTGGTGAGAGACAGTCCACTTCTGGAGTGCTGGGATTACAAGTCTGAGCACTACACTTGATTACACAGTACTGTTCATGCTGGGCAAGAACTCTACCAAGTGAGCTACATCCCCAGACCACCAAGGAGTTTCTTTAAAATTCAAAATGCAAACCTGAGTATAGTGGCGCATGCCTTTAACCTCAGCACTTGGGAGGCAGAGGCAGGCAAACCTCTATGAGTTTGTGGCCAGCCTGGTCTATGTAGTGAGTTTCTGGATAGCCAGAGCTACACAGTGAGACTGTCTCAAACCCCAATAAAAAATTCAGAAGCCAGCCCCATGCATTGTGGTAGGATCTTTAATCCCAGCACTAAGGAGGCAGAGTCAAGCAGATCTCTGTGAGTTCTAGGACAGCCAGGGTTACACAGAGAGACCCTATCTCAAAAAAAATCATGTTAGCCTTATGTCTATAGAGGGAGTTAGGCATCTGCTTTATAACCCAGCTCATCACTCCTCTCCATATCCACAGCTCTCTTCATGCCTGTTCAGTATGGCCAAATATGGTACTTTGAGACTAATGTACTCTCAATGTAACAAACCATATGCACACAGCAAAAAAAAAATGGGACTTGGTTATAGATCATTGGTATGACAATTACTTAGTACACACAAAGCATGGGGTCCATTCTACAGTACTTCAAAATAAATGACAATAATAAAAAGACATGAAAGACAAGGACAAGCTGAAAAACTTGGCTCTTGTTGAGAACATTTCAAGTAGACACAATGACAATGAGCTACCACTGAAAAGTACAGGAGAGAAAAAAGAAAAGTGAATCGCTGGCCTAATATTCTTTGTATTTCTTTATTAAAGCAAGAAATTAAAGTTGTCATGCCCAGATATCTGCCAAGGGATATAAAGACAAAGATCCAACAGCAGCAGGGCATTGGTGGCTCATGCCTTTAATCCCAGCACTTGGGAGGCAGAGGAAAGAGGATCTCTGTGAGTTTGAGGCCAGCCTGGTCTACAGAGTGAGTTCCAGGACAACCTCCAAAGCCACAGAGAAACCTTGTCTTGAAAAACATAAGAAAAAAAGATCCAACAGCATAATTTCCTGATCAGGATAAAAGTCATCCTTTGGATCCAGAGTGGGCCATAGTTTTAATAACCAGCTCTTGGGGTAGAATTTCTACAAGATTGTGTACTCTAGAACTCAGCCGGCTTCTATCCTCTGGCTACTTCAAAAACAGTTCAGAGCGAGGCAGTGGTGGCAGACACCTTTAATTCCTGTTCTTAGTAGGCAGAGGCAGGCAGATGTCTGTGAGTTCGTGGCTAGCAAGGTCTACCAAGTGAGGTCGAGGATAGGCTCCAAAGCTACAGAGAAACCCTGTCTGGCAAAACCAAAGCCAGTTCTAGGACAGCCATGGCTACAAAAAGAAACTGTCTCAAACGAACAAAGGAACAGATCAGAAGATTCACTTCTTGGGCACAACAGATACATGAACCATGTCCACAATGACCTCAAGGGAACACAGGCCACCATGGGGTCAGTGGATACAAAACATCAAGTTTATCAATCACTTACTCACCACTATCTAAGCCTGCAACAATTAACACGCATGTCCATCATGGTACTCAGGCCTGCACGACATGGAGTTAAACTATTACATGTCTTACAAAAACTGTTCCTGCTAACAGTAGAACCTGAATAAGCACACAAAAACAAGAGCCCTCATCAAACAAACAAGATGTGTGTGAGGTGCTAGGGATTGAACCCAGAGACTCATGAATGCTAAGCATACACTCTGAGCTATACCCCAATCGCAAGCATGCCTCTGAGCTACACACCAAGCCTTTGCCCAATGTTCTGAGAAGTGCTGAGAAGGGTTGGGAAAGGAGGACAAACAATTTTAATAGGATGGCAAGAATAACAGAAGGCAGGTCAGGATCATCTAGAAAGGTTTCAAAGAGAAGCATCCTCAGAGGAGACCTTACAGAAAAGAACAAATGAATCAAAAACAAGCCCCAGGAAAACTGAGAAGGTGGTGTATGTGGTGAGGGCACAAAAATCCAGTGAGCATGCAATCAGGCGCTGAGCTGAGCTGAGCAGGAGCCAGAAGCATACGGTTGCTTAAGAGCAAGTGTGATGGTGTTGGGTTGTATTCCCAGGTGCATGCCATGAAATGGCTGAGAGGGAGAAGCATTCCTCCCTTCTTGGTATGGGCTGGACCTCTACTAAGAGTTACAGTGCCTGGTTTTGCACGCTGTGCATTACAAGGGCCTGGAGACATGAGCAAGGACCCAGAGAAAAGCAACAGGAATTATTAGAATAGCTCTCAGTAGCCATCAGGAAAAGCCAAGAGGGATTGAGACTAACGTAAAACCATTGGTCATCTGCCACTTTGATCAGCTTTGCCCAGCTTCTCTGAGTTAAGTGACTACATAGTTATTTAGCAGATTAAAAAGCTTTGCTTTTCCTGTATTCATTTTCATGGTGAAGATTTGGAAAGGAAAAGGTTGAACAATTTGCTCTGGTTCCCACGGAAAGCCATAGGCATGATAATATTCAACCCCAGTGGTAGATGTAGATGCTTAATCCACCAATCCACAGAACCTCTATTTATAATGAATGTAGTTTCCTAAAGACTGCGGCGATGAAAGATGGGGAAATTCTCAGTGATTTTCTCTGGAGGGGAGAATAAAATAATGTCATGCCTCAATGCCAAGACCCATAAAAACATTAATTCCCTGGTTCCTGCCTGGTCTAATGACACAGGACACAGCCCATCTGATAAGCTGTTAGCAAATGGCTGGATCCCTCACTGTACCCATTACCCATGAACATTAATGCCATGTAGGGACAGTAATAAGTGCTCCAGACAACAGATGGGGAGTGACGAGGTGTGTCTCATCTAAAGTCAAGTTGGAAAGAGAAAGCCTCCTTCTCAACTCTTTGTCTGGTTCTCTCTAAAACAAATCCATCATATGGTAAATAGAATGCACCAGTGAGTGTTATTCAAAGAGGGTACCACCAAAAGCTCAGTTGTGTTTTGGTTTTGGTTTTGAGACAGGTCTTATATATCCCAGAATGGCCTCATTCTTCCTCTGGGCTGAAGATAACCTTGAACTTCTGACTCCTCCTGTCTCACCTTCCCAGTACTGTAATTATAGGTGTGTGCCACCATGCCTGGTTTATCATGTGCTGGGGCTCAAGTGCTGGGCTTCCATGCATGTAAGACAAGCACTCTTCCAAAAGGGCTCCAGCCCAAAGCTCAGAATCTTCTCATATATGATATATGTATCACTTACTGTATGAAGGGGACCAGAGTTTTATTCCCATCACTGGGAAGGCAGAAGCAAGCATATGTCTGTGAGTTTGAGGGAGAAAGACAGAAAAGGGGGGATTAAAATTTAAAAAAAGTAAGACAGGAAAGCCCTATCTTGTAGAAATCAAACCTCTAATATATTTTTAAGACTGCACATGTAATAACAAACACAATTCTAAAAAGAGGCCTAGGCTGCAGAGATGACTCAGAATAAAAGTGCTTGCCATGCAAGCTTGAGATCCTGAGCTCAATTCCCAGGACGTAGAGGAGATGTATAGGATAACCAACATCTGGAAGATGTCCTCTGACCTCTGTATATGCACTGTGGTGTACACACACACACACACACACACACACACACACACACTAAATTTACAAAACAAGAGGGGGCTCAGTATTACTGACCAAAGTTTAAAATACTGACTGGAAGCTACAGGTCAATTATCATGAATTATAATTTGCCAAATGCCTGGTCTGCTTCATGTGTACATGCATTGAAGATTAAACTGCAAATTCAGTGGCTAATCAGATGTTAACACAGACACATGCAGAACCCACGGAAATTTAGCAATTAAACAAAGCATGGAAAAGGAGATCTTTTCATTAAGTTAAGACAAATACAACATAATCAGATTCAAGAAAAATAAAGCAAGTTAAGATGTATTGAAAGAACCAAAGAAAGAGGTAAATAAAACAAAGAACCAATGAGGTTAAAGTTAGCCATAGATCCCTATTCTTTACAGATATAATCAGCCACACTGCATTGTTTGCTTTCAATTTGACAGAGTATCATTATGTAGGCCATGCTGGCCTTGAACGTGCCATCCACCTACCTAAACCTCCTGGTGCTGAGATTGCAGGCATTCGGCATCACATCTAACCTGTCTTGCATTTTAACTCTTCTGCTGAGAAACTGTAAATTTTTTTCAGACTTAAACAGCTACAAGAATCTCTCCGAACTAATCCAAGATTCCCACTGTGGCAGCTGAGATTTAAAACCACCTGCACCACTAAGTTGCTGGGAGATTTTTGGTAAACAGCCCAATGGCTCAGTAAGTTCATTCCCCGTAATGCATACTTGCCAAAATTCATGGGCAAAAGGGGATTGAGTGGTCATGCTTGAAGAAATCCTTATTGGTGTAGTTGGCAGGCAGACCTGATGTTAAGCACAGGGTTTAATAACGCTGTGCTAACCTGGGCACTTGCATCTTCAGCTGGAACTGAGCTGCGGGCTGGTACTAATGTAATCCCACAAGCCACTATCAGTCTCCAATCCTCAAACCTCAGAGAAATCACATGAGACCAGAAAGAAACTCAACAGCCAGAATGTTAATCAGGGACAGAATTCAGACACAAGTTATGCCCTTCCTTATGTTACTACAGTTGGCAGCCATCCAAAGGCAGCATGGCTGTGACGAGGGTCTGTGTAACAAGGCACTGCAAATGAATATTTTGCAGACTGAAAAATGAGAGCCAGGGAAAGGAACCAATTTCCCTCCAACTTCTCTACTTCCTGGCCTAAAGTAACATGGCCCCTGTTACACACTTAAAGTGCCCCTACTTGAAAAGAACTTTCTAGAAAGCCAAAACAGAGTCATAGAATTCAGAGACACTATCAAACATAAGTATGTCCACCTTGAAACCCCTTTTTACTTCAGCTGACATCTCCCTGGCCTTGTCAGAACTTTTAATGTCCATGGTCTACTGCTATATTATAGCCTAATTCATCTAATTCACTTGCAAAAGTATTTCCCGTTTCATAATATCTCCCCTTTGCAAAAGACACAATCACAGAAAACATTTTAACATATTTTTCTCCAAGCTGATCTATCACAACCTTGAATAAGATAATACATGCAAAAGTGTCTATGTGTAGCAAAGTGCTAGATAAGTGCAAGGTATTAGCAGACCTCCAAACTATCATCAGCCATTTGTGTAGTCAAGTCGTAACACTGGTTGCTACCATCTGCCGTTAATTTTTTTTAACCAACTCTCATCAACTTTCAAAAATCCATACCATCCTGCTTCTAAGAGCCACACAGAAGGCACTAGAAAGTTGAATGCAAAGCCTAGGACCTTAGTAGGTTACAAAGCAGTGATTGAGGACAGAGGACAAAAGAATACAATCCCAAGACACTGCAAGAATGTATCTGCATGATTCGTATCTCTGGCTCCACCCTATAGCTTCAGGGCATGAACTAAGGAAAAAAAATCCACACAGGACAAGAAATCAGCCTCTAGTCCCCCAAACATCCGTCATAAAGTGCATGTGACCCCAAAAGTCACTTCAATAATTTTACTTTACTGGGATCCATATGGAGCAAAAGGGTGGACCAAGTTTCCTTTTTTACACAAGGAGGTCAAAAGCCTTTCAAAGTAGCTCTCTGTCATATTCCCGTTGGTTACGGGACAAAGAATCACAGAACAGACTGTCAAGGGCTAGCTAGGGCTACAACTCTGTCTCATCTTACAGGTAGAGAAACTGAGGCCCTGAAAGGGAACTTTCCCCTAAAGCCATACAACTAATTAATTCCAGAAGTCGGTCTCCAGAAGCCTTCTAAAAGCCTCTAAAATCTTTCCTTTAAAAAAAAATCACAGTTGCTGCCAGGTTTGACGTCAGCACACCAGTAGCAGCCCCAGTGAGGCTGAATTTAGCCCTTTGTTGACCTTCTAGATCTGTGGTTGCCAGAGGCCTCAAGACCCCTTTGTAGAGGCACCCTCTAACCCTCACCACCTGCCTTCCTAAAAAAAGCACTCCTGTCTGGAGAGGCACACAGGACAGCAGCTCAGAGGCATTGTTTCCTCTCATTAACAAAAAGGCCATTCATTTCAAAAGAAACAAGAAAGAGGACTGGTCAAATTTGCACAGAATTTCTAGCTAGGACAACCCAGGACTTGCTGTGAATGGCTCACCTCCCCAAGAAGCCCTCTCTCAAAAAAAAAAAGAAAGAAAGAAAAGAAAAAAGAAAGAAAAAAGCCACTGCCTGTGCCATCTCTTTTCCATGCTTTTCGTGACCCAATCAATAATATCCCCTTTATTCCAGAGCTATCTACACCTTCTTGCCATCTGCAAGATTCCAAGGGGCCAAGGTCATTCTCGACATTTTATAGATCAAGAAACTGGGGCCAAGAATGTGTAAGCAAATGGATTTCTAGGAAAAGAGAGCTAGCAACTATATGAGCCACAAGTATACTGCAAAGTCCTACAGGATGGCCTAAAACCCTCTGGCACCCCCAGTTTAGGACTAAAGGCTTGCAACTCCAAAGGAGAGTTTGCTTTGCATCCCTGATGCTAATCCATCTTTTGCCTTGAGGCAAGTGACCTCTATCCTTGAACCCCACAGGGGCTGTAAAGTAAGGATAATAATCTCAACCTCCTGCCCCATTCAGGGTTGTCACAATTCTCCTGAGAATAACCTTCAAAAATATAAAAGCAATAAAGATGCTAATGGCAGGCTTCAAAACCACCCCGAGAAAAACACACAGCCTGGAATCTAAAAAGACCTAATTGTTTTCCCTTTCTCCCTTTTTCCTCATTCTACATGAATTTATAGCTGCAGAACAACCCTAAAAAGGCTGAGTAAAGAAAGTCTCACTCTATGGACCCCACACAGATTATGTGTACCTAGCTGGCAATTTCCCTTTTCAATCCCATTTGTTTGGCTTGGCATAACTGATGGCTAGGGGTCAGGAAAGCAAAAAAAAAAAAAAAAAAAAAAAAAAAAAATCAGCTCTCTGAGCACTCTTGGAGCATGACCATAGAATCAGAGAATCGGGTTTGAAAAAAATACCCTCTCACCTCCATCCAGATTTCCAACCTAAAGTTCACCAGTCAGCATGGGGGCCGAGTTCAGAGAGCTCTTAGTAGCTTTGGGTTGCTGAAACTTCTCACAACCCCAAAGCAGACAGACCTTGCCCTAAGAGCATAAATTCCCAAATGAAAGAGCCATTAAGAGATACCCCTAAAAGGATTTCCCCAATGTACCACAGTGGAGACAAGGAAGCTTACGTGACCACCTCCAGGAAAACATGTAACCAGGCCCCAGGGAAACTACTCATTTTGCAAGAGGGCTGCAGGCGCCACAGATGTGATTCTGAAGGGGCACCTAGCTGGGGCTGGACTTCCTGCTAGGGAAAAGGCCAGGCCCCAGCAGGGCTGGGAGGGGAGGAGGGGCTTTCTATGGCTCTTGACCTCCACTGTAAGCTGACCCATTGTGCAACGCTAAAGTTAGCACAAAGGCAGCCGTTGGTTGGAAAATGATTTTAAGGATCCCACTTCCCACGGGGACAACGTGCTCTACACTAGTGTCCTGAGCACACAAATTACTCTCATCACTTAGGCTGCCCAGGAAAAAGTCAACAGACTCACATGCATCATGGTGACCAGGTGACAAGGGTTGAGCAGGTAGATGACGGTCTTGGTGGCGAACTTAAAGCCCACCTCTACCCCGAAGATCAGGCACAGGGCTACTAAGAGCAGATTCTTGCTCAGGCTCTCCTTGCCTTCCTCTGGCCGCTGGGT